AGAGGTCAATCGACGGAGTCAACTCGGCTGGGCAGCGTTCGGGAATTTACGACACATCTTCTCGTCAGGTATACCTCAATCTCTGAAAACTAAAGTGTACAACCAGTGCGTGTTGCCAGTGATGACTTACGGATCAGAGACGTGGTCCTTCTCTGCTGGCCGTGTGAGGACGCTCAAGGTCGCTCAGCGAGCTATGGAGAGGGCTATGCTCGGAGTTTCTCTGCGTGATAGACTCAGAAATGAGGATATCCGCAGTAAAACCAGAGTGACCGACATAGCCTAACGGATTAGTAAGCTGAAGTGGCAATGGGCCGGCCATATAGCTCGAAGAACCGATAACCGATGGGGAAGAAAGGTTCTCGAGTGGTAGCCTCGTACCGGTAGGCGTAGTGTAGGGCCCCCCCACTAGATGGAGTGACGACCTGTTAAGACATGCAGGAAGTCGATGGATGCAGGTGGCTCAGGACCGTGCTTTATGGCGTTACTTGGGGGAGGCCTATGTTCAGCAGTGGACTTGTGAAGGGCTGTAATGATGATGATGATGATGAAATAATATTCTAGAATACAAAAGAAATCAAATTCTTTCAAGCTCGCAGATTATTGACCGTGTCGACGACAACACAAATTATTGAAGTAAAACTGATCTTTTTTCGGACGACAGTAACGTTTAGTAAAATCCATGGTCTGTTTACGAAGATTATTGCATTTGCTAAGGCAGTGACTGTACTATATTATTTCGTGTGTATATTTGTTTCACATTAGGCATATTGAATAATATGTAAAATTTTCATTTTCATTTCCATTTATAAATACATTATACTTCTATGATATCTATTCGTAATAATTATAACTTTATTTATATTTATTTAAATAAGCAATAATCATTATTATATCAAAAATAATGACATATGAGATATGAATATTACTAAGTTTAACTTTAAAAGCGACTAAAAGTTACAAGCATTCATTTTGTTACGAGTTTAGGGTTTGTGACAATAAAAACTGCCGATTGAATTACCAAAATGGACACTTTAATTGCCGAACACCAATTAAAACTTAAAACACACTAATAATTAATCACACTTAACACTAGTTCACTTTATTTCGCTCCTAAGTCTTCACTTGTATCGCCAATTCAATACTACTCCGGTAGCGGCCTTCAACGGCTTTATATAGGCCTTTTCCATCGAAACATCTAGAATGTTCCAGCAAATACTGGTCCCGACCGACTAAAAGTTCTCTTCTAGTTCTGCCACTTGATACTAGATGGCGCTGGAGGTGGAAAGTTCTAGCATCGCATTTTAGAAAGCTCTCGGAAATAAGGAGGGGATTATTATGGCTTGTATAACTGTATGTTGAAACAAACTAATTAGGTTTATAGGGGAAGGTTTTTATTATCGGGTTTTTTTTTGCGCGGAATCCTAATCAGTTTTCTAAATTAAAAGTAGCCTAAGTTACTCCTTATAACATCAGCTATATGCCAGTGAAAGTCCCGTCAAAATCGATTCAGCCTTTTCGGAGTTAGCCTGAAAAAACTGACGGACAGACAAAAAAATTTAAAATTGTTTTTTTGTTATAAGTACCGTATATACGTTCATATGCACTTAGTAGAAAAGTTCTTATTTTGAGATTATAGACATATACTTCAATTTTATTTATTTGAATATACGAGTATATGATCTTATATTTATAATTGTATATGGCCCCATAAAAGAGCGTGACAGTATTCCCAAGCCCACCTCGGCATCGTCGGTTTTGAGCGCGGGGGGGGGGGCGGCGGGTCACAAGAATGGGGCACAAAAGGCAAAAAAAAAAAAAAGGGGGGGCGCGGCGCCAAAAAAAAGACGGCGGGGGCCCAAAAAGCGTTGGTGTGGTTGTGTGGAAGAGATCTCAGGAATCGTGATTACCAGCTGGAAGAAGGTAACCAGGCAGTGTGACAACTAGAGGAAGATTGTGGAGGAGGCCAAGACCCACAAAGGGTTGTAGCGCCACCGGAAGGAAAGAAATTTATTATAGTTAATTGGTTAAAATCAAATAATATGTCATTAATGAGGGCATCCACTTTTTCTGCCACGAGGGCGGCCCCATTTTACAAAGAGCTAAAATATTTGACAGATTTCATAGCGGGGACGACGACGAATTTCTTAGGAAAACGTCAAATAAAAAAAAATTCAACTCAAATGAGGATGAAAACTCAAGTGACGACAGCGACGACAATGAAATGGCCATCTCTAATATCAACACTGCGTCGTCATCTGGTTTTCACGTCACCCACGATAACTTAATGGAAGAAGTTTCAACATTACTTTAATTTTTTGCAAGTAGATTAACCATTCTACACTGAAACAAACATGTTTTTAATTCTATTTAATGATATTCTACCTAATATATTTTTCAATGTAAAAAACCAATAACCAATATATGAAACCGCGAGCGAAAGGCTAGATTTTTAAAATAAAATAATAGGCCTAGTACTTTCGTACGCGAGTGTACCCATGCACAAACGCACTCCGTCCACTTTCTTCAAGCGTTCTTTTCACATGACGTGTGTAGTACAAGTAGTTTCGAAAAAAAATTAAGAACTAAATTACAACTTTTCCCCATTATTCTTGCCAGTTTGACTTACATTTTACTTACGATTAGCATATGTTACATTTGGCATGTTGCGATTTGGTATTACTTGGGTTGGGGTAATATAAAATTTAAATATTATTGTTACGAGCTTGAGGTTCGTGACAATAAAAACTGCCGATTTAATTACCAAGATTTACACTTTAATTCACTTTACACTAATTAAAACTTAAAACACTAATAATTAACCACACTGATTCGCTTTATTTCGCTCCGAAGCTTCGCTTGTCTCGCCAAATTCAATACTTCCTCGATCGCATTTTGCAGGACCTTTAAATACACATTATCACCGAAACATCCAGAATACTCAAGTAAATACGCGCTCCAATCGACAAGGCGTCGAAAGTTCGAGTGTCGGGCTTCTAGAAGCTTAGTTCTTCGTTTCGATACTAGATGGCGCTGTCGGTTGAAAGATTAGTGATGTCATTTTCTAGGAAAGCTTCCCCTCGCTCTCGTCCCCGACACTAGGTGTCGCTAGTGCCGGGTATATGACGTCAACTTAGGCGCGCAACATTATTTTTAAACCATGCTATTAATATTGATTTAGTTTTGAGATATATGTGTTACAGTTAAGAATATTTCCTGGTCAAAGCTAATTTTTCACCGACGAGAACTGTCAAAATTATTAGTAAAAGTAGTTTTAACTGAAAAATATTAGTTCAAAGTAGTTTTGACCAATACTGGTTGTTAAAATTTTTTAACGTAAAGAATGAAGTAAGTGTTTAATATTTTACATAATATTTATGGCCAATCAATTTTAACCAAGTAGTAGTTCAAAATAGTTTTAACCAAGACTGGTCGTTAAAATCACTTTTGACCAGAAATATTTAGTAAAAGTGTTTGATATTTTACAAAATGTTTATTGACAATAAATTTTAGGACAAAATAGTTTTTCGTGGGCGATCCTGTTGGGAAAAGTAATATTAGCGACAGTAGGTAGTTAATTTCCTCCAAACCTATTTTATTAAAGGATAATAAACAAGCACACAGACCACCTGATGGTGAGTAAACACCCCTTAAGAATAATATGAAATGTCTTTTCAGTAAAAAGGGTATCCGGGACTTGAAAATTTGCAAGAACAAAGGAGGAGCCTTGGCGATTTGGACACAGTGAAAACCTTCGATCGCATTTGACACAAAACGCTTCTTTCAAAGCTTTCTTCCTATGGGCTTCCCGAGAAAATATGCAATAGGATTACCAGTTTTCTCTCAGATCGCAGCATTAACGTCGCAGTCGACGGTCCCGACTCCAAGCCTGTGAATGCTGGGACTTTACAAGGCTGCGTGCTATCGTCTACCCTGTTCCTTCTGGATACCAACGACATGTTACAAACCATAAACATTCGTTGCTATGCAGGTGACAGCACCGGCGATGCCTCATAAACCAACCGTGTTTTTTCTTAGGAATAGGTCGTCGTGTACCGGATTAAATTAGTGTCTGAAGTCGATAACAAAGTCTCAGATTGGGGAGACTAAATATACTAAGTCCAGTTTAATCGCCAGAAGACACAGATTTGCGCGTTTACCGCTAAAAAGAACCCCTTTGTCAATATCTCCTCAATTTCAGGGCACTCCCCTTGTTGACTCAGCCAGCATCGCAATCCTCGGCGTCGACATTTAGTTCCGCGGTTACTTGGAAGGGAAGACTAATTTGGCCTCTAGAAGCAAGGTGTGTTCAGCAGAGTGAAACAGTATTTCATGCCGGCACACCGCCTGCAACTTTACAAGGCGCAGGTTCGGCCTCACATGGTATACTGTTCTCATCTCTGAGCCGGGGCACCCAAGTGACCTTAAACTTAAACTTGCCAGCAAAGTACGGCTCGAATCATCGACGACCACGTTTTATCTGATTGGCTTGATATACTGACCCAGTGAAGAAATGTTGTATCACCTTGCATTTTGAATCGCATTTACCACGGAAGTGCTCAGGGGAATTGTTCTGATTAACTCCAGCCGCCAAAACCACCTGGATGCTAGGCAACCCAACGCTGTGCGATTTCCGAGGAACTTTCTTCGGCGATCGGCGATTTTTCCGATAAGATTCGATACGACTTAGGAACTTTCCAAGAAACGGGTTACTTCTTTTTAAAATGCCGAAAATGCACCCTGCAACTACCCTGTATTGTATTGTAATTGTTCGAGGTCGGCTGTAGACACTTTCCATCAGGTGAGACGCATGCTCGTTTGACCACTAATCTATAAAAAAAATGTGATCTCAAACAAATTTTCCGCTAAGTCCGTCTGGGTGGTTACCGCTGCCTTACCTATTTCTGCCGCTAAGTAGCATTGTTCACTGCTAAGGGCCGGTCTGAAGGGTAAAGGGAGCCAGTATACTACAGTATACGTCAGAGGCGCTGTGGGTCACGTACCTGAGCGCAGGCAGCAGGCGAGCGTGTAGAGGCCGGGCCAGCGCGGCGCCGTGAAGCGCAGCTGCAGCTCGTGCGCCTCGGTCAGCGCCGTCACGTGGGCCGGCGCCGTGAGCAGTGTCCGCGACTTGCGGTCGCAGATGTAACACCACCAATACTCTTGCTTCTCCTGCACAAACAGCACTTGGTAAAATTCAATGCGCCTGTAAAATGTTATTTAAATTACTATACAAAAGGAATAATTTTTTATTTTCGTGATCAATTTCGTTTTATCACATAGCAAATTTATAATTTTGAAGCGTGGCGGTAAATTCGATCAATATTTTTCAGTAGTAGAAATAAATTCACGATAGTTCATTATATCTAAGTTGTTACGTGTTTCGAAAAGAAAATAATATGTAATATCATTCAGTAAATGTTTATTTAATGATACATTGAATTTTCGCTAATACTACATAAGGAAAATTTGTATAATCTCTATCTCTTCAAAAATTCTTGGGTTAAATCGAAAAAGTACGGAAACTTATCAGATTACAGAATATTTTCACTGGACAGAAATAGCTTTGAAATCGAATCTAAATTACGTTATACTCAATATATGGATTTTGTCGAGAATTGTGTAAAGCAAAATATCAAATATTTCTGCAAATACAGTAGGGACTCGATAATCCGAACACACAAAAATTACACCCTGTTCGGATTAATGAGGCATTCGCAGCACTATGGTAAGTAGATATTTTTATAAACTAACCCCTGAAATACAGGTACAATATCCTATCCAATTCAGTGACTGTTGACCACCGTAAATCCCATTTCTATAGGATTTAGGTCCGGGAGCAAACAAAGTACAGAATGGCCTGCTTCGTTTAATACGGCATCGATTTAAAAAAAGAAATTCTTAAAAAAATTATTATTAATTTGTACATTTCCGGCTTCAGTATGGTTCCTTCAAATTCAATTACTTTTTGACAGAGCCAGGTTCGCATGTCTGCTTTCTTTGTACTGGACGTTGGTGCAGCGTCGAGTTGTTTTTTGTGGTACGATGCATTGTCGACTACCACAACTGAATTAAGTAGTAAATTCGGCATCACTTCAGTATGGAGCCACCGCTCCTAATTCTAGGAATTCATGTTTTCGTGGTAATCGCCGCTTTTTGTAACAGCTTTGAACGTCAGCAAAGCATTCGGCACAAAACCTGCTCCACCACTCGCGTGCATTATGACCAAGCGGCTACCTTTAGATAGAGGTTTTTAATGCCTTTGGTGGGACCGCCTGTCCAAGAACGGTGAGACGCATGGGAACTATCGACCTATGATTCATCGGTGTAAATGATAGGTCTTCCTCCCTCTCTGTATATTTTTATCCTTCTCAGATATTTAATTCTTTGAAATCGAATTTGCGACTACTTAACTAAAATTTTTCTACTGGATAAACAAACAGATATTAAACGAAATTACAAAACCGCAATATTTTTGTTTTATAGCATTGGGTGACAAACGAGCACACAGTTCACATGATGGTAAGTGGATGCTGTGGCCCATAGACATCCACATTTATCCTCAATTAAGAATTTAAAAAAAATGGGTTGTAAACATGCCTCAATTCCAGTACAAAAGGGTCTCCGATTATCTACACTCACCATACGAAATACAGCAGTATTAAGCTGCTATTTTACGCTGGTTGAAAATAGGTGACATGTGAAACTTTTAATAGCTACTTTTCTTCAGTAGGTATAATTTTAGCAAACGTTATACCGCAGAAATATCATAATAACCTCACAGACATACCTCTCAGAATTTAAAATATGTACAAAAAACAATAATCAAAAATTTAAATGATAATGCAAGTTCAGATATAGATGGTATAACGCCCAAAGCAATAAAGTATGTTAATGAAATAATAAGTGATAATTTATGTTTATGTATCAATAAATGTATGAGAGATGATGTATTTCCAGATAGCCTGAAGGTAGCTAACGTTAGCCCTATTCACAAAGCTGGTTCTAAATCTGACTCTAGAGAACTATCGCCCCATATCGGTTTTGCCCGTGTTGTCAAAAGAATTTGAGCGGATTTTGTATGTACGTTTAAAATTTATAAAAGCTAGTACGGCTTTCGCGCCAGATGAAATACTCTTTCGGCTACAATCGATCAATAATTGCCAACATAAACACTAATATTGACGAAAAAAAGATAGTTGTACCTACAACCTACAATATTCATTGATTTGAAGAAGGCATTCGACACCGTCTCACACTTTATCTTGTTCTATAAATTACAATACATTGGTGTATCTGGATCAGCTTTAAAGGTTCTTGAATCTTACCTAAAAAGTAAACAACAAATAGTGAAAATCGAAATTTTTTAAAGTAATCCATGTGATTACACATTGTGATCCATTCTTGGCTCACATAAATGACATCGGCAACCTTGAATTGACGGGAGAAGTAACTTTATACGCTGATGATACCGGTAAATTTTATTTTAGAGATTCAATCCAAGAGATTATATCAGATGCACAAGCTGATCTAGATACACTGAATGAATGGTTTCGATACAATTTGCTCACTATTGATGTTACTAAAACTTTTAATATGGTTTTTATTGCAAAAAAACAAAAACGTTTATAAATTCGATCTCTTAATATTAAATAACCAAGAACTTAAAAGTCAATATCAGTAATATATCTTGGTCTAGTTTTGGATTCTAAATTGCGTGCTCATTTTAACTGCAGTCAAAATTAAGATCATTGACAGGAGCCTTGCGCGCTGTATACCTTATAAAGTCCGACTATTATTTATAATTCACTAGCTAAGTCATTACTAGAATATTTAATAGAGATAAGGGGGAAGTGCATCTAAAATGAATATAAAGGATTATTAATAGAATCAGGAGTTACTTTGCGGAAATCCATTATAATAAAGATATTAATTAATTCGCAACTTACTTAGCGGTCAGCCGCCGTAGTCTACCTCACCTGAAGATTGTCATATTGTCGTCGATGGTGTGTCTTTCCTGGAATAGTGGTGTTGGGAGTAGTGGTGCCGGGATTAGTGTGCACGCAATTGAGGGGAGGGCGGGAGGTGCTCTTCAATCCAGGTAAGACACATCATTGTATTTATTAAGCGATTGGTTGCGAATTAATTAATATCTTTTATAAACAGAACCCAAATATTACGTGTTGATGACAAGCTAAGCGATAAAGCCGAATGTAGCTATGGTGTACCACAAGGCAGCACTCTTGGGTCAACACTATTTTTGATGTACATAAATGAATTGTGTAAAATTAACATCGATAGTGCGGAACTTTTTATGTTTGACGGACGATACTGTAATCCTCTTTCATGGTGCAGACTGGGATACTGTGCAACATTGTGCCGAAAATGGATTACGCACGGTCACTAAATGGCTGGAAAATAATCTTTTAACCGTCAATGGTACAAGTACATCTGCTTTCATAAAACTATAATCTCAAGAACACCACATAGCTTTTCTGTCACCATGCATACGTACCCGTATAATACGACCCAAAAAAAGGAGAGATGTAAATGTACAATATTAGAACGAACATCCACGATAAAATACCTTGGAGTAATCATCGACGAAAGATTAAATTGGCTACCTTATGTAGCAAATGTATCTAAACGAATTCGGAGACTCACTATAGTGTTTAAGAACCTAAGAACTGTAGCGACAAAAAAAAAACTGCTAATCGAGACATATAACGCCCTTTGTCATTGTCTCATAAATTATTGTATCTGCTCATGGGGTGGAGCTCTCAAAACGTATCTTATAGAGGCCGAGAGAGCTCAAAGATCTATATTAAATCTTCCTTATACATACCCAACATCTAAAGTATATGAATTGGCAAATGTCCCAAGTGTACGAAAATCGTATATATACCAATGCATAAAACGATATCATAATATTTGCCCCATATATGTAGATAGAAACAAAAGAACACAAAAATGTCCAGTACCATTTGTCAAAAGCGCTTTAGCAAAAGGGCAATATGACTACCAAGCACCTCATTTATACAATGCTATTAATAAAAAAAATTACATTATAGAACTTAAAACGACACCAAATTAAACAAACTATTTTAAATTGGCTAAAAGAATACGACTATGAAAATTGTGAAAACCTGCTTTAAGCACATATTTTAACAAAAACAGACACACGCACGCGCACACGCACGCACGCACGCACGCTCGCACGCACGCACGCACGCACGCACGCACGCACGCACGCATGCATTTCATTTCACATTTCACACACTTTGTTCATTTTTTTATTTTTCTTGAACTATGTTTAGAGTCTGCATTGTGCACGGAATGTAAGATAACTGAATGGGAGGGAAACTGCCATTCAGTTATAAAAAAATCTTAAACATTCTGTCTTTTTTATCTTTTAAATTCAAAATATACTTGGTAAAGATTTATTTTAACTGATTTTACTGCGCACGCACTGATTTGTAAAGGCGATATTACAAGGATTAACCAAACTGACACAATTTAATTGAAAAGTATTGAAAATTGCACATTGAACGACTTTACCAGTATACACGTATATCATTTATTAGACATTAAATGTTCACAACGCAATGCGATGCCGCGTCAAACCGTACGTGCGAGAACTTCGTTAATCTGTGACTAATTAATAAATGGGTGAAATTAAAAAAAAAAAAAAAAGAAAATCTCGGCGTTGTTAGGTGCGCCCATGGATTTAAAGAAGGATAACTAAAGGAGCCTCAAGCACCTTATTAGTAGAATTCATTCATTCCAAATTCATATTTGAACCATTTGCGAATGACGGAAAGTCAATTTAATGAACTTCCTGAAAAGGTTACACTTGTCTGACTGTCACGCCACTGAAAACCCCTTTTCGAAAATCTATGTGCGCAGGCGAAATAGGTGCGCGTGAGTACGCTTCGCTGTCGTGCGGTGCGCGGAATTAGTCACCTTTCAATATTTATGTATACACGTTTCAACCGCATTGAACAATGACCAATATTGTCACCATTACATTGAAAGGGTTAGCTGAATTTTAGCTTTCAATGAGATTGCGCAATCGCATTGAAATGTATTTAGATGTATCAATGCCATTGAAGCAATTAATTAATTGAAAGCAGTATTGAATCGAAATTGAACCGTGTAATATCGCCTTAAGG